TTGAAATTAACAAAGCAGAAATAAATCCTTCAATCCAAAAGATCAAGGTAACAAAAATATGTTTGTTTGTTTTTTTTTTGGAAAAAAAAAAAAAAAGACAAGCCTCCAGCTAAGTTCACAAAGAAAAAAAAGGGAGAAAACTCTAATAAGTACATGCAAGAGAAGTCTCAGCAATATTAATATTCATAAAGACCACTATGAATACCAATATTCCAATAAGTTGAATAACCTAGAAATATGGACACATTCTTAGAAGCATATGATTATTTGAATCTTAATCAGGAAGTAACAGAAAACTTCAATAGACAAATATGAAGCAAGGAAATTGAAACAGTAGTGAAAAGTCTCCCCAAAAAGCCCAGGATGAGACAGTTCTACCAAATCTTTACCAACCAAATAATACCTACTATTCCCAAGCTCTCCCAACAATTTGAGAAATAGGGAATGTTTTCAAATGTATTTTATGAGGTCAACATTATTCTGACACCAAAAGAATGCATCACACTAAAAGAAAATTATAGACCAAAAACACTGATGAACATGAATGCAACATATTAAATATCATCAGTCCACTAACTAGGATGTATTACCTTGTCATTTATAAAGTAAATTCAACTGGAATATCTTGGGCAGATTATTTCCCCTTCCACTGTCAACTCCCCATACGATAGACACTGTTGGAAGAGGTAACAATCCCAGGTCAAGTACGAACAGGCTCCACATTTTCACACTATGCCTGTGCTTCACACATCAATTCTTCCTTTCTCCCAACTATCCTACCAACACCAAGTAAAGTTTGAATGGACCCAGGAACAACTTTATCCTGTATTTTAATATATTATAAAAGAGCTAAGACCTATTTATGCTTGTGTATTTCAAGGGTTTAGTATTTAAATGGTCAAACAGTAAAAGACTATCACCATTTTTAGAAAGACTTATAGAAGTAATTTTTTTAGATTTTAAACTATTTTTCCTTATTTACGTATTTATATTTAACCAATCTAAATATATGTTGGTATATAGCATGAGAAGATTCTAAGTATAATTTTCCTCAACTAGTTATTTTCACACTGTCTACTTAATATTTCATTTTCTCCCAATGACTGAAAATTAATTATATATATATATATATATATATATATAACTTTTTCTGTTGAGCTGCTGATCTCTCTTCCCATGCCTAAACTATATTGTTTATGGCTTTCCAGTATGTTTTGTTATTTGGTAGTTCGTGTTCTCTCATTAACTTGTTCAGTATTTATACCTATACTTCCTTGGTCAAACTTCCTTATTGATTTTAAAATATCTTTGTCAAATTAAAAAAAAAAAGTGACAGTAGGACTGTGCCCTACAAAAAATAAATTAAGTTGAACTAATAATGCTTCCCATCAAGAAATATATTGTATGCCTCTCCAATCACTTATAAAAGAAAGTTGATCTCTCAGTTACTTCCTAAATCACTGCATAATGATAAATGACACGTCAGGCTGTACTGATTTGCTAAATGTCAAAAAGAAAAAGGCATATAACCTGCTCATAGCCATTTAAGGTAGGTTTCTCCTTACCCCATACTTACTGCAGCAGTATTGAATAGTTTAGGCTTTCATTTACTTTGACACCAAAATACAATGTGCACAGGTACACCAAAAATGTTGTGTGCACACAACCTATCTCTCAAGGGGATAAAGAACCTCCCTGTGATTCAAGATCCAGTATTCTATACCTAGCTTGGGCACTATTAGCCTTGAAGCCAAGGCCAGGGCACATGGTTTCTCAGTGTCTAGGTTTCCGCACCTTGAAAATGAGAGAAAGCAGATGAGTTTAGACAAACTTAGGTGACTCTTATGCTCATTTTCTGTGATGACAAACTATAAATCCCAACACACTTCCAATTATATTTTTGCTCTCTTTTGGGTTAGCTTTCTTAGCATTAGGGTTGGTTAACTGGAAGTTATTAGCTTTTATTCTGCTCCTTTTAGGAGCAGATAGAAGTGAACTAGAATAAGGTTCAGGTTATCAAAATCAATGAAGCTGCTGCCATCAGGTCCCCAAGCACAAAAGTGCTTAACAAGTAAGTTTTCCTTATTACTCTCCCCAAACATAAGCCACTTTCTTCCACACTCCACGTTTCTAGTCCTCCCTCACAAGTGCCTCCTTACTTCCATGTTGCTATTTCATCTACCTTTTATTGCGTGATCAGGACATAATAGAAGAGAAAGGAGTTAAGAGGAATCAAATTATTCTTACTAAGGAATAAATGTCTAATATATTTTAAACTTGCATAGGGATACCAATGCTAGAAGAGAAGCTGATTAACTCAAATAACTGCAATACACAGTTTCAAAATTGTGTTGACTTCATGGCATTCTGTTACTCATACAAGTATTTAGGCACTGATCACTCAAAGGATCTAGGTCATAACCTTGGCCCCCGAGGGCTGAAAGCCTAGTTCTCTCTGGCCATGTGCTACAAGAAAACATGAACTGCTGGAACAGCTTAGTACAGCTGCTCCAAGTGTGTCCGTATGTGTGGGGAGACAAAGGAATACAAATCTTCCATACAAACAAAACATGCAGCTATAGCTTTTGTTTTTAAAATTATAAAAGCTCACTAATTGTACTTTTAAAGATCACTAGAGAGAGCATGTTTTCTTAGCAGATGGATTAAGATTTAAAAAAGGAAGATTTCACAATGCATTGTTTGTGACCCTGATAATAATATACAAATCATTTTGGTCTCTACACTGAGATTGTCATCTTCTTACACTGTTTGGTACCTGGTTTGTTATCCTACACAACTTTAATAACTTTATTGAGAAAACTATTCCCACTTGGCTGACTATCTGGCAATAGATGAATGTGGAAGGCACCCCTTCTTCAGTGCTTCAACACAGTGCTTTCCCATTGCAGTATTACAGTCCTTTGTCTGTCTCTTCATAAAAGAATGGGAATGACATTCTCAGGATGGCCACCCTAGGTGCTTTACCATTACAAATTCTACCAATTCTCATAAAGAGTCCCTTCAAAAAATCCCTTCATTTTTGTGCTTATTTCTGTTGGAATCCCAACTGATATCCCCACCAAATCTCACAGTAAATTAAAAGGACGAAACAACTGTCTTTGCTTGAATTATGCTTCTCTTTCAAACACAGCCTCTCTCCCACATATAGGTTGGAATATGAACCTCTTTAGAGCACGTTAACAATAACTTAGTGATTTCCATTAATCCAGTGGTCTCAATCTAATTGTCATGATGAGAGAAGGGGGTGAGAGAAGAGAGCTGTTAAACATCCTATAGTATGTAAAACAGCCTCTAACAACAAAGTTGTTTAGTCACAAATATCAATGCCAAGGTTGAGAGACTCTGAGGGTTACTCATCACACAAAATGACCCTCTTCCACTCTGAAATATTCTCTCATAAGCCTAAAGTTCAAAATTCAGGCCATTGGCAAAGTATGGAAAGGATTGGGAAAGGGTGCCATTCTCAGATGGGGTCAGACTGACCTAAGTTCAAAGGTAAAGATACAAGCAACCCTTCACTAGAGATTTTCCTTCCCCAAAGTTTGGGATCTAAAGAAAAATAAAATGTCTCTAGGGACAAAAGTCTGGAAATATAGATAATGCATCAAAATATTAACAGTAATTACTATGAATAGTAGAATTTTTAATGACTTAAGGTTTTTTTGGCTTATCTATTAAAATTTTACTATAATTATCAGTTAACATGTATGTAGTTATTCAATTTCTTCAAAAACTCATCAATTATGCCATATTCACTGACTCCATCCCTCAGACCCAATTCCTCAACTAAATAGCTATTGCACTTGCTGTATAGCTATTGCACTTGCTGTAATAATGAAATCTACAGAAATTTGTTTTATAGCTGATAACAGAAAATGTACTGCTTGCTACACGGTCATTAATATTTGTGGGGTGAGTGTATGAGGTTACTAGTATGTTTTACTTTCAAACGACAATAATTATGTAACGGAGCATAGTAACTTCCAAGAGATAAACATTAGACTCAACTACAAAAACTATATAGACCAGCATAATCCGCTATGAGTAGCCACTACACACAAGTGGCTATTTAAATGTAAGTTAAATACAGAAGGTTTCCATCATCGTAGTAAATTCTATGACAGACTGACACACCTCAGAGACACTCCATGTCTCTGCTCCCAATATCTGCTTCTATTTATTTCGTATTTTTTGCTACTAGAAAATATCAGAAATACTCAGAAATATCTGTGTGTGTGTGTGTGTGTATCTCCTATTCATATTAATGGGAAATCATCCTTGCTTCAGAGTGCTTAACTCGGTTAGCCTCCACCAAAAAAAAAAAAAGTCTCTTTTTCAGTTGCCCAAGAGGAAGGGAACCCCTGAATAGGTTAAGTGACGCACAAGATTCCTATCCCAGTAGTTGCCTGAGCCCCAGCCCCTGCCTGCTGTGCTGGGATTCCCAGGGCCCAACTCTCACCCCACTTTGGGGAAACCCCAGTACTACGCGGGACGCTTACGCAGAGCCATTCGACTAACGTGGAGCTAAAAACGTAGCCCATAAACATTTCAAAAATTAAACGTCGATGTAACTGTTTTAATGGTCTTTGTTTATTGAAAAAGCCCCTCCACAATGGATTGCGTAGCGATTCACTGCCAGCTTAGTCCCGGACCAACCTCTAGGCCCCAGGCGGAGGGAGATAAGCGGCTTTGGGGAGCTGCTAAGGAAGTGCCCGGCCTCCTGCTGGCTCCCATTTCAAAAGACCCGACCTAGCGTTTTATAAAAGCCGCCCCGACTCCGCCACCCTGCGCGCCTTACCTGACGCCGGACACAAAGAGCGAGCTCTGTGCCTCCTCAGGCTGCCGAGCCTCCTCCGGCGCAGCGAACTACGCGGAAGCGGGGCTCCGATTGGCTGCCTGGCTGAGGTATGGCGGGGAGCAGTGCCGCTGCTGAACGCGGTGCGGTCTGCCTCTCCTGTCAGGCTCCTGGAACCGGGAAGGGTAGCCTTGGCAGTGGCCTTCACGGATAAGGCTTGACAGTCACAGGATTGACTGTGAATAGGCCAGGCCGAGATGGTAGCCCGGGCTGCCTCCTGAGCCCTGCCGGGCTGCCGGAGCGGGCTTGGGCTCTCCGGGACAAAACGGTAATGACCATCAGCTATCTGTCCAGGTTGCAATTACAGTGCCTCCTCCCATCTATCCCACTCCCAACTCAAGGCACCTCTGGGTGTTTTCTGGTTCAGTAACTTACTCTCCCCCCATTAAACAGGCAGCAAAGCTTTTTGTAGTGGGAGAAATATTTAGAGTGAAGCCTGAGGCTGGAGGTTAAAGGATTCACCGGAAACAGTGGACAAAAGAAAAGGAGGGCTTATTGAAATACACTGCAAAGAGAAGCAGAGGGTGAGACAGAAGTCTGTGCACCGAGAAGAATCGTGGCCCCCTTTCATAAACTGTATTGCTGACCTTTTTACTAGGGGGCAGAAGGGGATTATATCTTGAAACATCAAGTTTAGTTGGGCCCGCGTTTGTCCACAATTCTGCACAATTCTTTTTGGTTTTGTGGACCCGGGACCAGGTTTCCATGGCAAATCTATCAATTCCCCTCTATTTTGTTTCTCCCAGCATTGCTCAGCTAAGCGAAGTTCAGCGATGAAGTTTTAATTTTATTAAGGGATGCCCTGACACTTTTGCTTCTCTTTGACTGTGTGGTAAAAAGTATATTACAAACAACTATCCTAACCATTTTTAAGTGTGCAATTCAGTAGTAGCAAACAGATTTATATTGTTGTGCACATATCACCAGTTTGCGTCTCCATAGTTCACTTACTAGTAACTCATTAAATAGTAATTGCCCCATCATCTGTTGTTCTTAACCCTTAGCAAAAAAAAAACAAAAAAAAAAAAACGTTTTATGCCTTCTGTCTTTAAATTCTGAGTACTCTAAGCTCCTCTTATAAGTGGAATCATACAGCATTTGTTTTCTTCTGACAGGTTTAGTTAATTTAGCATAATATTCTCAAGATTCTTCCATGTTGCAATATATTACAGAAGCTTCTTCTTTTTCAAGGCTGAAAATGACCCATTTTTAAACCACATTTTGCTTACTCTTTCTGCAATTGACAGATCACTTGAGTTGCTTTCAAGGTTTAGCTATTGTGAATAATGCTGCTCCATGCATAGCTGGAGAACAACCTACTTTTTGTTCTTTTGGCATATACCCAGCAGTGGAGTTGCTGAATCATGTGTTAATTCTATTTTTCATTATCTGTAACTACTCATTCCTTTTTCCACAATGACTATACTATTTCACCTTCTCACCAACGGTAGTTACACAAGGTTTTTAATTTCTCCCTGTCCTTACAAATATTTATATTTTATTTTTCTTGATAGTTGCCATTAAATAGATGTGAGGCTGTATGTATCTCATCATTTTTTTTTTTTTTTTGTCCCATGCCATGTAAATTGAGAACATGGATCATGACAAGCAAGTTTGAGCAATAGGAAAGCTGAAAGCTCCCTATAATGGCATGGAGAAGGCATCTGAATGGTTATTTCTAGGGTCTTTCCTACTAGATAAAGCTCACTAAGAGGCCTCTATCTGTTGAATACAGATAGAGGGGTGGAGGAGTTGACAGCTTGCTAAAGAGTAACATAGGCACACACGCAGCTAAACACACACACACACACACACAGGAAGATTTCTAGAGATTAACACAGCTCAAAATGTATGGTCACCATCCCCTCCCTCCTGCTCCTCTTCTTATCAAGCATTTGTTTTGCCAGACTCCTGCTCACAGACTCAGGGCCTTCTACAAATTTTCTTCTGCCACTTTGATTCTTTGCAGGGCCTCTTACCCTGGCAACCTAGCCAGAATCTTCTCAGTATCAATTTGCATTTTGGCTAGTGATTGGTACTGTTAAGCATCTTTCCATGTGCTTATTAGTTATTTGTGTCCTGTTTTTGGAGAAGTATTTATTATACTTCTATTATTGCCTATTTTTGACTGTTTGGCTTTGTTGTTATATTTTAAAAGTGGTGGAAGTGGGCATCCTTGCTCTAATCCTGATCTTAGAAGAAAGCTTTCAGTCTTTAGCCACTGAATATGATAGTCACTGTATATTTTTCATGTGTGTCTTTATTATGATGAAGTAGTTTGTTTTTATTTCTGATTTGTTGGCATATTACATTGTCAATTTTTGTGTGTACAACCATTCTACTTGGTAATAGTATTTGTGTCTTTTAATATGCTGCTAAATTTGTTTTCTCCGTATTTGGGTGAATATTTTTGTATCATATTCATAAAGGATATTGATCTGTAATTCTTCTTTCTTATGGTATCTTGTATTTGGTATCATTATAAAACTGATTTAATGGAATGAATTTTAAGGTTTTCCTTCTTCATTTTTTAGGCAATTTGAGAAGTACTAGTATTAGTACTTTAAATGTTTGGTATACATCAACATGAAAGTCACCAGATTCAGAGCTTTTCTTTGTGTAGAGATTTCTGATGCAATTGATTTACTCATTTAGGCCTAATCAGATTTTGTATTTCCTTATAATTTAGTATTGGTAGGTTTTGTGTTTCTAATAATTTATTTCATCTACTTTATCTGATTTGTTGACATGTAATTTTTCATAATTCTCTATTATAATCCTTTTCATTTCCTCATTATCAGTATTAATGTTCCAACTTTCACTTCTCTCTTTTTTTAATAAATTAGCTAAAGATCTGTCAGTTTTGCTGATAATTTTCAAAGAAATATTAGTGTCATCATTTTTTTTCTCCCTCCACTTTTTTGTGTGAATCACAATTTCTCCTTCACAGTTGAAAGACTCTTGCCAAATCATTTTGATTATTTATTTTATATACCACTTTGAATACAGTCATTAATGTTTTAAGATGGGAATATGTTTGGAGAAATGCATTGGTAGGCAATTCTGTAGCCAATTAAATATTTAGACCTATAAGGACACCCACTGTGTATGCAATGCACATTGTTTGACCAAAACTCTGTTAAGCTATCTATTTATGACGTGTGGTATAGGATGTAAAAAGATTACCAAGAGTCATATGTACAGGGCAATGAGAAGCCTAGAGGGACTACACCAAGAGGAGTTTGAGGTGCAATGAACTCCAAATATTGTCTCATTTTTTTAATTTAGAATCAAGCAGAAAATTTAAAAAAGAAAGATCAAAGAAGCAAGTAGGCATACAGGGAATGAATAAGTGTGTGTAACCATCTGGCCCCAGCCAAGGCTGAGGAATCAGAGAGAATGTGAGGGGAAGCCTCAATGTTTTTGCTAATCTAAGCGTAACCTCTATCACTGTTTTCAGTACATGCTGTTGTCAGTATGTATAGATCCTCATTCCAGGACATTTGCCCTGAGAAGGTCCTTAAATCAAACTTTCCCTGTTAGTACTATGGGTGAAAGGCACAAACTAGTCAAAGTACTGAATAATCCAAGCTCCTACATTAAACCATATATGTTTGTGTATGCTCCCACTGGTATCTCCTCTCCAAAGTTTCTAATGACAAATGTGTTAATAATTGAGGATTGCTTATCGGTGATAATTTGCTTATAATTTTTCTTCTTTCTGTTCCTCATACTTTTCATTGACTTATCTTCAAATTTACTGTTCTTTCTTCTGCCTATTTAAATCCACCTTTTAGTCCAAGTAAATTTTCCATTTAAGTTATCATATAATCAGTTCAAGAAATTCTTTTTAGATTTTTTATCTTGATAGCTCCACATTACAAATATTTTCTTCACTCTCTTTATATCTTCCTTTAATTTCTTGAACATCTTTAACATGTTAAAAATTATTTTTCTTATTGTTATTATTTTTGCTTATTGATTTTGGTTTTATTGTTGTATATTGTCATGTGATGAGGATCAAGCTTAGACAGATTTATTCACAATAATTATTGCCTTTGGGAGAGGGGTGGTGTTTACTAGTCCATGATTTTCCTAGAATCAGGACTCTGATATGTAAGATTGATTAGCAATTCCTCCAACAAAGAGTTTACATCTTTCTATGACCTGACAAGCTTATTTAACTAATGAGGATTTGTTGGATATGGAAAAAGGCCAAGTTTTCTTTCTTGGCTTTAAATTTCTATCCCCAGTCCATTCCTGTCTCCTGAATTCCATAACCCTTTATGTGACTCTCTACTTAATAGTTTTTGAATGTCTAAATTATATCTCAGTTTCAACATGTTGAAATCTGCACCTCAAATCTTTTCTTCCAAATTTTCTCTTCCTATATCATCATCATACTATTGGTACATCTATCCTTCCATGTTTAAACCAAAAACTTTGGCTGCTTTTACTAAATTATTTGAGGGAAAGCAACAGTCAGCCTACTGTTTTTACTGTGATGTGGTTTTTTGCTTCTTTGTTTTTTACTCTTCATGGAGTTATTATATTTTTATTTCAATTAACATCCCTTTGAAGTTGTGCTACAACTTAAAAATATTTGTATGTTATAGTAAATAAGCTAATAATGTATTGTGGTACAACACAATGGGATATTTGTTTCACTAAAGTCTGTGTAATTCACAATATCACAGAAATTGAAATAAAATTGTTCTTCAAGTAATATATGCCAATATGCACTTATATATAATCTTAAGTGATTCAAGTATTAATTTTTAAACCCATAGAACAAAATTATGTATTAATAATAAAGCAAATTGTTTGGGACCAACCCCCCATCGAGGTGTCTGGAGGCAAGACAGGCAGGGCCCTAAGGTAGGAAGGCATTGGCAAAGGGAGATTCCAAAAGGGAAGAGGGGAGCGGGCGCGAGGAAGACTTGGGAGTCAGGTTTGGGTACAAGTCTTCCTGTTCATTCCCTCAGCAGGTCTTTATTTATACTGTGTAACAAGTAGTTAATTGTA